GGTGGTACGCCCTCTCGAAAGACTCTCTCTCTGTCACTGGCTTGCTCGCTATATGCTTGATGGCCACCGGTAGGCCGTCCCGTGCCCTTGTGCCGGCATACACGTTGCCGAATCCGCCGCTCCTGAGCACCGCTCTACGGTGGTGCTCTCTCTCTGTCACTGGCTTGCCGGGTGTTAGATCCATGCTGCTCGTCGGGCAGGGCTGTACGAAACTCCCCTTCACAAGATTCACATTTGCTGTGGGATGTCTGAACACGGCGATCTTTTCTGACAGAGCCACAGGCGTCACGACCGCGGGGACCGGCCGCTGAGGCGCCACTGTCGGCTTCGGTGCGTCCTGTTGCGATTCCGCCGCAACTTCATCAGACTTCCCAGCGAGCGCCCAGGCTGTGCTGGGCCTAGGTTGAGGCATCAATGCCTCCGGGACTGTGAGTATAAAATCGTACGTTACATGGAGGGACTCATGATCCCGGGTTTGTGTGTGTGTGTGTGTGTGTGTGTGTGTGTGTGTGTGTGTGTGTGTGTGTGTGTATGTGTATGTGTGTGCGTGTGTAGTGTGTGTGTGTGTATATATATGCGTGTGTGTGTGCGCGCGCGCGCGCGCGTGTGTGTGCGTGTCAGTACGTGTGAATATATGCGTGTGTGCGTGTAGTGTGTGTGTGTACGCGCGCGCGCGCGCGTGTGTGTGTTGAGGGGGTTACTCTATCAGTAGGTTCTACTTCAAAAGGAATCTGCTTCACTCACCTGCGCGTCCCCGTGCCACGCCATGTTCACCATCTTCCACCGTCTCCTCAACTGGCAATGGCGCTACTTTCCCGTTTCTTTTCGGGAAACATCTTATTAAAAGTTTCCTCGCAAATCGAAGCATTTTTCAGCCGTTATCGACGAAGCTTGACTTCGAAAAAAGTAAAAGCTGCGGAGCCTTTTATATTTCAACGTTATCGTTGAGCACTGTCTCTAAGCAGTGTTTAGAACACCAATGTTGTTTAGAGACGTCACAAACATATGCATTGTAGTAGAACATGGGCGATTCGACTGTGCGGGGGGGGGGTGAATAGAACAAAACGATAGATGGCTATAAGCTAGATCAGATGGCCTTGTAAAACCGTTACAGGTCTTACGGGAGTTGTAAAGCCTTTGCCTCCGTCTGAGTCAGTTATACCGGAAGGTATTTTCGGTTTGGGCCTGGTGGTTCTATGTACTAGGTCAACATCATAACTCGAGAAGTTGTGGATGGATCTTTTTTTTTTATATTTCGCATGTGGGTACATGTAACAGTTAGCTGTTGTAGATATGTAGGTCAAGTTCACTCACTCAATCACTCACTCACTCATCACGTGGGCTGTTTCTGTGGAAGACAGGATTTCACATTTGGTTGCATGAAATAAAACATTCATATCATGATATCTACCAGAGTGGATTGCTACATGATCAACTTAATTTGTCTCCTTACATTTCTGTTCTTCTTCGCATCCACCAACTAGGAAATAATATTGCTCTGTAAAATGTGTTACGTAGTACAAAAAACACGTAGTAGCAGTGTCACAGCGCCCTCTTGCACCGCAACTACACCGCAAAGCGTAATACATGCAGTAATGAACGAAGGAAACATTTTGGCACTGGAGCCCAGGTAATAAAACCAAATGATCTGACATTTGGTATGGGAATACCTTGGATATATGTCTACAAAACCTCATTCAAGCTTTCGACATACACCACTTTAAAATTGTGAAAAATAGGGCTTTTTGGTTATTTTCAGACAAAAAATGTACATTTTTGGCTCCTGTGCCCTAATATTAAATCCGAATGACCTGAAATTCGGTATAGGGATACCTTGGACACATGTGCAAAGAATGCAATTCACGCTTTTGACATAGACCATTTTAAAATTGTGTAAAATAGGGATTTTGGGCTATTTTCAGACAAAAAAATGTACATTTTTGGCTCCTGTGCCCTATAGCTAATAGTAAATCCGAAGGACCTGAAATTCGGTATAGGGATACCTTGGACACATGTCCAAAGAATGCAATTCACGCTTTTGACATACATTAGGCCATGTTGATTTGATTATATGGATGACATCCGCGCGCGCATGAATTTTCGGCCATTTCCAAAAAAAAAAGTTTTCAACCATACTGTAAATCGTACAAAACAGTTGCAAAATTAGCAAAAATATACCATAAGTTACAAAAAAAAATAATAAAAACTATACCAATGTCGTAGAATGCCCAAATCAAACGAAAAAAGACGAAATTGTAAAGAAATGAACTTGAGACTAGATTATTCGCCAAACCATATGGTATGACATTTGCTCATTTTGCAACTGTTTTGTACGATTTACAGTATGGTTGAAAACGTTTTTTTTTGGAAACGGCCGAAAATTCATGCGCGCGCGGATGTCATCCATATAATCAAATCAACATGGCCTTACTTAAAAGTTGTGTACAATAGTGCTTTTTGGCTATTTTCGGACAAAATCTGTACATTTTGGGTCCTGGAGACCTGGTATTACACCCAAATCATCTGAAATTTGGTGTGGGTATGCTTTATATATCCACCAACAACAATTAATTGCAATTTTTTTTCATACTCTCCCTTAAACTTGTATAATTTGGGACTTTTTGACCGTTTTCAGGTCACAATTTATGATATAGTTGGGGATGACTATCCATGAGTCATCAGTCCGGCATGCGGAGCAAGAACCAATAGGCATGCAGCTTTCCTCTAATCTTCTTGCTGATTGGCTGTTGGAATTTGATTGAGCTAATTCCATGAACAGCTGCATACCATATTAAAAGTAGGTACTGCATTGAAGTGTTTTGGTAGGTATGTCAAACTTTCCTGCTCAAGCATTGGAACGTGGGGCATAAACGCTTTTTTATCTTGAAAATCAACAGTTTGCATTATGCAAATAAAAATATTAATCAACAAGAGTTCCGAGATCTCATACCTCCATGAAATATGGGCTTGATATGTAAATGTAAATTTCTTCTTTAATTATGCAAATGACCTCTGCATTAACATGATATATGCGTCGTGATGTTAACTTTTTATTAACTTACAGATGTCCCAAGTATGACATTTCCATCATTAACCATTAAGAAATTATAGAATTTTCGCCTTAATTATGCAAATTAGGTCATCATTTGCATAATTAGTATCTGTTGATGTTCCGCCTGCCATAGGTTACAGACATTACATGTATGAAAGTACTGTAATATAAAACACTGTAATAATAGAATTTCCTCATTAATTATGCAAATAAAGTCCTCATTTGTATCATTTGCATTTAATTATGTACATCTCCCTCTCAGCTACCTACACACCAATGAAAATAAGTTGTTCCCATCTGGACTTATTGGCTTCCAAACATTTCGCCCGAATGTCCCCTGCAGTTCCAGAACAAGCTGCTAGGGGACCAAACCAACACCATTTATTCCTGACAGGAAAAGCTATCTGTCACCAAAAAGTCAAGACCATAGCATGTTCAGGACAAAAGATACAACTACCGGAATTTCTGCTGCAGTACCAAGGTCATCCACCAGGAGGCCCATATTTGACCTTGACCTTTGTCTTCCTAAGACTTACCAACATACCAAATATCATCATAATCCATAAAGGCGTTATGAAGTTATGCTGACTACAAACGTGCGGAAACACAAACACACAGACACACACACAGACACACAGACAGACACGCCAAAAACAATACCTCCATTTTTCATGGAGGTAATCAACCAGGTGGTCAGTGGACACAGAAACCGTAATTACAGGAACTGGATCGACCCAGAAACGAACCAGTCTGACCGGTTTGAACACAGGGACGCGTAACAATTGGAATACGCCTGTATCCCCCAGGTTTGTCATTCCGAAGTTGTGCTGAAGACAGTGAGCCTACCGTCCGAACGGCAATCATTTGGGATAGTAGTAGCACGTAACCAGGATCTAACCAGAGGTAGAAGGGTCAAACCAGTCAAAAGTCTACTAACTACTACTTTCGACATGTACAGAGGCAATCACTGACGGCCGAAGTAACATCGCCGACATTTACAATCAGCCTGTTTTAGCTCACTCGCAGTGACACGTAAGTTCGCTTAACACATTCCAAAACGATTCGACTGAGTGCCAAATTTGAGCAATTGATTTTTAAGATTACAATAGATTTTAAAACCTACTGGATTTAACAATGATCAAATATCCCTTCTAGCAAGGACATGTCATCCTTGCTTCTAGGTACCGAATACTGGCGAAAACAACAAACGTGAACTGGCATCAAAAACAGGGACTCCGTAAGATCGAACTCCAGTGGGATAACCAAACAGCTCATCATGACGAGGTTTAAATTTACCACATGTGCCTTTCTGCTCACATGTGCAGGCGTGTACTTCCTAATACGGTATGTAGAAAGGTAACATATTCTTATTCACATACAGTATCCAGCATTCATTATTGTTAACTCGGGGATACAATTACAAGCGGTTGTCAACCTGAAGACAAAATGAATGGTGAATCAGTTCGGTTCATGAAGTTGCTGGTATATGTAACGTTTCCATTTGAAAATCGTAACTAGTTGAATTTAGACACTGCAGAATTCATTATTGGCGTCAGGCTAACTTTTTTTTGTAAACATTTCAGTATTACCTCCGGAAAAACGTCACAGGTTTTACCGCATTTGACACGAGCAATGCGCATCCAGCCTCCTCAGCCGACTCACCCCCCTCAACCGGTATACCCCCCTCGGCCGACCCACCCCCCTCGGCCGACCCAACCCTCTCGGCCGCACCACCCCCCTCAGTCGGCCCACCCCACTCAGCCGCCCCTGGTATTCGGAAAGTTGGCACCAGAGTCACCTTGGAAATTTAGTACCAAAGCTTTGAAAGAAGCCAGGTCAGTGTTATCACCTTCGTCTGTATGTTTGTATTTTCGTAACCTATTCCACGGTAAAGCAATGAGGACAACAATTGTAGCTATATTCTACTGATTATCTTGAAAGTTCATCTGTGTTGGCAGAAGTCATAATGAAACAAATTTGAACTGTAATGGCCAACACAAGAAATTGGACTCACCCAATGTTTCGACTGTATCAAACGTTACAACTCCAGTCTTGAAATGTCAAGGAATGACACTTTGGATAAGTCCAATTTTTGTTGTTGACCATTACAGTTCAAACTTGTTTCATAATATTCTCCTAATGTCCAATTCAAATTTGATCACAAATTTAAATAGTGCCCTACAAATGTGTTGTTTTGTGTGTTGATCTATGCATAGTGAGTATTAAAGTATCATCATCATAAGATTCGTTAATCATGGGAACGAATTTAATTCGCTGATCCACAAATTTGTTATTTTAATGATGATAATTAATGTAATGTTCATCGTTTTGACATCAACACTGAATTTGTCTTCCAGAAACATCTCGGCGGAATTAAACTTTCAGAATCGCCTACGTAAGTTGGGGAAGTTTCCAAACAATGCAACTATCCGTCACTACAACACGTGCGCTGTGGTGGGCAACAGCGGCGTTCTGCTCGGAAGCCAATGTGGAGCGGAGATCGACTCCATGGATTACGTCATGCGCATAGACTTGCCGGTCATCAGAGGCTACGAAAGAGACGTCGGCAAACGGACCAGTATGGTGTTCTTCAACCTGAAAGGGCCAGACAGAATTAGACAGTCCTCGGCTTTCAAAAACAGATCGCGGGATGTGTACGAGAGTCGATTTAAGGACGTGGAAGGCGCCGTTCTGCTTGTAGACAGAAGGGCAGTGAAAAATATCCAGACCGCCTTAAACGTCTACAAACTCTCCTTTCCAATGTTACGTCCCTCAGGGAAAATCAGGACTGGAGTTTTTACGTAAGTTGCTGTTTTCATATTGACGAAAGAGAGCGCATTACTCTAGAGTTTTACCCTGTGATTTTCACATTTCATCTTGGGCCTCACCAAGTAATTTTCATGGATGACGTCCGCGCGCTTGATTTTGGCCTGTTAAAAAAAGAAAAGAAAGTCCGCTTCTTGTAACTATGACCAAAGTCACGACAGTGTCACAAGGGGAGATGTGATAAAAGGAAAGAAACAGGATAGGGCGACAACTAATGAAAGACTTGTTGGTTGTTACACTGTATTCTCATTCAATTTGTGCCCTAACATTTGCCATCCCTTATCTTTCAAATCTAAGCATTCTTCCTTTTTTTCTTGCTCTCGCAGAGATTTAGGGTCTCTAGAGGTTATCATATCCATAAAAATTACTTGTCGATAATAACAGAGAGGGATCGACGGCATATTTTGTTTCTTTTCTTTTCAGGGCTGCATCTAAAATAGCAAAAAAGGAGGATGAGAGGCATCCCTTCCATTGGTCTGGTAAGTGTGCTGATGATGACGACGTTTTGTGACCACCCCTACATCTACGGATTCTACCCTTTCACACAAGACGCCAACAACAACACTATCCTGTACCACTACTACTCGGGAGACTTTGTTGACCCTCCGCTTGAGCATAAGTTCGCCCCGATGCACCACATGAATCAGGAGTACGACTTTCACAGGGAGCTGCACAGACGGGGGGTTCTAAAGATGCAGGTCGGTCCGTGCGGAAAACAATGATGTGTTTCAGTACCAAGGACGCCACCGTCAGACACTACAGGCTAGGTCGATCTAAAGATGCCAGTATATTAAACAGGCTTCATGGATATTTCTCAAACTACAAATAGATATGGCTTTGCCAGATGATGCCATATATAGCTTAAATTCGTAGGGCCATTTTATAATGGTATATTTAAGTCACTATCATCCTCTCCCTATGATGATCCAATTCTGCCTAGAGCATCAATTATGTAAACGTTAGAACATGTATGATATCTCTCCAATCTATATCAAGATATCAACAAATTAAAACCAATTAATGACGGAACGTCATGTTAATTCGTCGGGTCTCTGAATGTACATACATGTACGCTGGTCTGTGCTTACAGCTGAAGTATATTCAAGCCATAACCTATGATTAATATAAAAGTTAGAGAATTCATGAAGCACGGAACTCTCCGTAACGGCAGAAGGTGTACATAAACGTGAACAAACAATATTTTCATATTGCTACTGTAATTAGTAAGATTGAAGTATGTGCTACCTTGTTTCATCCATGTTTTAAAAAGGGGATTTTTCATCTCTAAACACACTAGACATTAGAGAAGAATTCCATACTAAAATTATTCTTGTGTGGTGAAGGGAAATGTGAAGGAAAATATAATGGTGGGGGCCTTTAATTTTCTCCATGTTTTTTTTTGTACGTTTTATATTTTTTTTAATTAGGCCCTGTCAATTTGATTATGTGGATGACATCCACGTGCGTATGAATTTTCATCCGTTTCGAATTAAAAAAAAAATTCGACCATCCTGTAAATCGCATATAGCAACTGCAAAATTAGCAAATATATGCGCAATATTGCAAACAAATATTGGAGAACGATACTAATATCTTAGAATGCCAAAATCAATTCCAAAGGAAAAGAAGAAACTGTAAAGAAATGCAAATAAATATATTATTCGCCATACCATTCTCTGTGTGTTTAGTCATTTGTTCAGCCTTTATGACCACGTAGATTTTATAAGGAAGGGAACTTTCTTTTGCCAAACTTTTTTTCAATTCGCACGCTTTGGGGTTCCCAGCGATGGTAACCCTTGGGGTTTCCGACCTACTTTGTTTCAGCCCAGGGGCTCGTTCACTATACACTCAGGGGAGGGTAAGAGTGATCTGCCTGCAGCAGTATTGAAGATGTTCAGATGCAATGAAGCTGATGGCTATCAATGTTTATGCGTATACTGCTGCTGGTGGTGACATATAATATTTTATGATGACGATAGGAAAGTATACATGTAGACAGATAGAGCGCAGTTCAGTAGATCACTCCCACCCTCCCCTGAGTGTATAGTGAACGAGCCCCGGGCTCGCAGAAAGTGGGGCAGGTTTTCTCAGAGACTTGCGACCTCAAATTCTACTTTGAACAACAACAACAACAAGGCTTCCCCCAAATCATGACAGCACCATTGCAAACAAAACCCTACCAGTAACAACCGTCGCCATGGCAATGTATGTTTTCATTGCCAGTCTTGTTAGATATTTTTTGTCGTTGACGAATTATTCAACGTTGATTAAATATGACACAATCAATTTTGTTGAACTTAACACCTTTTTTCTTTTCATTTTTATTACACGACTTTTTTCCTTGTATAACAACATGTATCGTGCTGCAGTACGAAGGTTGTAGTCTCCACCAGACTCCTTTTGCAGGCTGATAAATAGTGATAAATATCGTGAGATTCTATGGCGGCCATCTCCTCTGGTCAACGATATTCCCTTTTGATGCCAATTTCTACTATTTATCAGCCTGCAAAAGGAGTCTGGTGGAGTCACAATGTACACTAGGTCACTGAGACGCTATTGAAATGGCACTTCCGGGTTGGTCATGAATAATTCATGAGGTAGCGCGTGGCGCGTAACCTAGGAGGCCGGAGCCACAGCCTGGTCACTGATCCCTGCTGATACACCGCGATTCACCGGCCATGGTCGCACCACCTCGCCGTGCGATCCCAGTCCTGGTGGATATACCTGGCGATCTAGCGCGATTTACACTCCAAACCCGGGCGTAGAAGGATCCAGAGAAAGTATTTGCAATCACCTGTGTTTTAGAGAGGGGCTCGGATTCCTGCAAACAAGGCCAAAAGTTTTGAAAGCGTCAACAAACAGCTTATAGCATAGGGCGAGGCCGAGGCGAGCATGGGACCGCCGTACCGTGTGTGAGTTCAGATATTTATCTTGTTGTTCTCGCTTTAGCTCATCATGGACACGCGATAAAAAGTATCTCCAAGCTTCAGTATACGATAAGAAGATTTGTTTTTGAGTCTGGGGTGTCGCACGAACTTTAAAGTAATGGAAGGGAGGGGAGTCTAAATGCGTTGTGATCTGTGATGCTTTCACTGACATGGAGGTTCATGACCACAAATTGTTGTTCCTCCTTCTTATAGCAATAAGTAACACCGAATCTTACACATTTACTTGCAGAGCCAAGTACAGAGTGCGAACAGCCTAGTCTAAGGTGCTCGATCAACGACAACCGTCCCGACTCGCTGTGTACTTTCGTACCGTGATCTTCAACCCCCCCATGGCGGCCATGCCACCTCTAAAAGCCAAGTCCGGCTTCCCCGTCAGCAACAAACTGCTACAGAAAAGATGGAACGACAAGGCTTTCCAGTTACACCAACAGAAGGTTAGTTTTCTATTATTTTTTTCTCTCTAATAAGGGAAAGATTGAGATGTTTACACCTGTTTAGATTATGTTGTACACCTTTGCTCACCTGTATTGAACACACCTGTTGAGCAGGTAGAAAGAGCACCCTTTTCTTTGTTGCTGAAATACTTTTCTCTTTACTGTTCCTTCTTTCATTTTGAAGTTGTTTGAGGTAGTGTTAGCACATGCATCATACATGCACAGAAGTTCCAAAGTTTGCCTGTGTATTGCCAGAGATTGGCCAAACCTCTGTGTTGTAGTCGGTGTCACTGCGTTTACCAAAGTGGCCTTAATCTGCGGGTAAATAGAAACGGAAACACGGCAAAACATTTGCTGGGCACAGCGATAAAAGTGCTCCCAGCAATATTTGTGTGAAGTGAAAAGATGCCTTTCCATCAACATCAGGGTTTGAGCTTGATGTTTTGTTACTTCTACTAAGTTCTAGCATGTATTTCCTACCATTGTCCTCCAAAAAAAAAATTATTCTTTAGACCAGATTTGAAAAAAAGTTTCTAATTCACTAACAGAATTCCTCAAAGACCCAAATGCATCGGTTTGAACTCCAGCCGACAAATTTCTTTGCATTGTTGGAAATATGTCTCTAGTCAAAGATATGCCATATTACATGCATTATGCTTGAGTTAATAGATGGTTTGTTTGTGCTATAGGCCTGGGGCTCTACCCAGCATTCTGCAACATTCTATTGGGCATCGAGCTACCAAATAGCTACCATCTTAATTTGCGTAAAATTACTTGTGTTAGACAATGCAAGAATGTTCCCTTGCAGGAGTTGTTTGTCGATGTTTGCTTACATTTTGATTGGCACTCCGTGTGGAAACATGCCTCACGCAACTCTCTTTTTGTGTGCCATCACCAGCCGTGACTTCACCATACAAAGTTTGGAAGGTTTGACGTTGAAGTTTGACCCGTCTCTATTTACAAAACACATGGTGACTGGTAAAATACAAGACCCCGACATTTTAATGTATCATGAGTTTGACACTTGTACAACATGTGACAGAATATAAAAGGAAAGGTGAACGTTATTTGCTCTTAACAACATTATGAGCTTAGCAGTTTCAAACACACAGGTTGTTTTGGTCAAAGAACAGACTTGAGTATCCTGGCATATCTGAAAATGCTCTTTCGTTGCCCTAGATGTATTCACTTCTTTGTTAAAAACTGTCCTTGTCACACAAGAAGAAGGGAAGAATATCTGGTACACCAAAGTCCCATATCTATTCAGATATGTTAGAAAAATTGCCAATGAATTGTTGGTTCACAAATATCATGATACATTGGAAAAATGTCTATCATTGTTTTGTGTAACAGGAGCAGTTTTCAGCTCATGCAGTTTTCATGAGTAACTTCACTCCGTAATCCAGTCCTAGCCCCACCATAAGCCCATGATTTGTGATTCTAAGTGCTTTCCTTTATTGACTTCTTCCTTGGCTTTGTGTCCGAGGCTTTTGAGGTGTCCAAGCTGCCCTGCGAAAGCCACCTCACGCAACACATTCATTCCAGATGAGCATGCACGTACTCGCCTTGCGTCAAAGGGCTCATGTTTAAAAAGGATCAATTTGTGGCAAAACTATTCTAAGAATCCTTTGGAAAACATTCATTTTTTCATAGGAAAATTCTGATATATGTATTTTAGATTGTAATTATGTTGTGTATTTTGTATGTTTTCAGGTGTCTTTCTTTAACTTACTTTGAAAGATTGCTTCACAGCATATGTGTGATGATTCTTGAATGAATATGTAATAGTTGCAACAAAAAGACTTTTCAATTGAGGAAAACCCAGTGTCTTCTCTAAGTAGCTGTCCAATGATTAGCTCAACACCTTGTCTGTTGTCTACCAAAAAAAACAAGATGGACGCTTGTGAAGACATGGCTTCTTTATCTCCATGGTGACATGTTGCCAAGGTAACGCTTTTCAACCCAGTGTCCCTGGTCCATTCAGGTGCAGCCTACCTTGTCCCACAGAACTGTCAATCACTTGAACGCTTCCTGAGACAACAGCCACGAGAGTTTGATGGGGCTAATTTGTTTGCGTATTGTCATAGAAATCAAGCAAATGGCTTTATGATTTGGGTATAAATAGCCAGCCATATAATCTGTCTTCCTGTAGTGGAGGGTAGTGTAAACGAACTGTAGTGACCAGTTACAATAAAACGTGATAAGGGAGTGAGAGGCTACACAGAGCGAGAGCATTCACCTCTTTTGTTTATCTGAAGCTTCTCCATGGCAACATGCTTTTACTGTTAAAGCAACAAAAGAAGACCAAAAGGTCACATCAAAAAGCAGTTAGCGGGTTGCATTTAAAGTTTTTTAAGCAGGAAAATTGTCTTTTCATGATATTTGTATCAAAGGTGACTTAATATTAGGGAAGAAATTGATAATGACTCTTTTTCGTTTGTATGACTAGTGACAAATCTTTCACTGAACTACCCGGTAAATGCAGTTTACGTGCATTCAGCTCTATCAACTTTGAACTTCTGTTTATGGCAACACACAGTGCAAGCCAGAAAGCTTTGCTACTGTAACTATTTTGGTGTTTTAAAAGCCTCCAAAATGTTTAGGGTTAACTAGAAAAACAGATGCTATTAGCCGGGCCTTGCAATCCTAACAACAGTCCATTTTAAAGGTATCCTCCAGTTTCCACGCTTCTTTTGTGCGATAAAAGTGCAGAGGACTTAAAATAACAGTATAATTTACGAGCTTTGTTTTCTGCTCTCCCCTAGTTGCATAGAATACCTCCCCAGGACGTTTATATAGGAGATGTCAACAAATATTTTGTTAGCAGGTGAAATGGAAGGAGGGGTACGTAAGACTTTTGACCCCCGGAGCAATTTGTATTTTCTTATTGATACTCAAGAATTTTGTGCAAATAATGTAAAACTCGTGACTTGAGCCTTGAAAAAATACCACTTGTATGAGGAACGTAGCCTGAAAGCCCTACTTGCCACCCAAACGGTTCAAATGGGGGATTTGTTTGTTCCTAATGTTGAAAATATTGTGACAAATGCTCTGTTATCAGTAAACAAGGATGGCGTCCATCTGAAGTGTCGCTGATACAGATTATTCTAGGACACATGCTATAAATGGCTCAAAAATGTCACCTAATACATTGACGTTACCAATCAACTGTCATATTAGATGCATTGTGTGGCAATAACCGGATAATAGGTGAACTAATTTTCTCCGCGTGCAAATTGGTTTTGTAGCCCGGGCAGGGACAGTTTCAATCGTTACCGGGGGACCGGGTAACCTTGCACTATTGACACCACTGTGCACCCCGGCCTCAGACAATGGCACTTGTAAGAGCCGCATCTCGCTTACGGATCGGTGTTACGCCGCCAACCATCCGACACCCCACCATCAACAACCTGCGCGTTTGAATCGGCAGTCGAGCATGGCACGCACACTCGTCCCCGCTTGGAATTCAAATCAAGCAGGCCACGAGAGCAGATTATGGTTCAGTAACGTCACCCCCACTTGTTCGTGGAGAAGTCCTCCAGTATTGGGTGTTCTCGGTGAAAGAGGCAGGACAAAGCACTCAATATTCTTGTTTTCATACCCCCTCTGTAGGTGGCAGCTATGAAAGCGGATCTCGACAACAAGTCCCCCAAGCCATACCACCACATACGATTACGATTGAAGAAGTTATTGGTACGTATCACAAAAAAACACAATTATACCACCATGTACATGTATCTCACAAACTTCACCTTAATTACAGTGAAATAAAACATTAAAGACAATGCACACATTACACCACAAAGAAATATATATGGGAAATAAAATTATAATGTTTTCATTCGCCCATTTAATGTTTTAATGTTGGACAAACTTTAAAATTTATATTATAAGCTGCAGGCATGGGTTTGGTTCGTTACATTGATAAAAGACTTGAAAATGGTAGTAAAATGATGATTGACAGTTTCCAAACAAAAGACCATCAAATTTTGACAATTGTTTAATCATACTGTAACAGTAAGTGCAGAATTTTACATTCAAGAAATTGCCATTTTAATATAGGTCTGACAATTTGTTTATGACAAAGTGTAAAGAAGGTTCAAACAATTAAAGTGAGCCAAATATTTTGTCCATACCCATGATAACATTACAGCAAAGGTACAGAAAAATAAAGATTTTTAGCTGTCTACAGAAGTCTTGGAAAAAGCAACATTTTATAAAATTGCGTATCATAGCAACGATGTTTACATCGCCTGTTTCCAAAGATATGAGTTTGTTTGGTCTGTGAAAACAAATCTACACTGTCTGTGACTGTCTGGCCAAAGGTGGTCAAAAGTGTTTGCATGGTTTGTCGCAGGAGAGACGTCCACACTCTGATAACAAAAGGCAAAGTACACAGTGATCAAAGGTATGGATCGGAATGGCACACGGTTTCTTTCATGCAAGACACTCTGTACCGAGAGTTCGAGATTAACATGCCTGAACATGTGTGCACAAGTCGGTATCTTTACCACACAATATTCGGGAAAAGAAAAGAAGGCATGATAGACAAGCAATCATAAAATACAATACAGTACAGTCTAATAGCAATCTGTCAGATTGTGACTTTAATTCAGGTAATCCCTGTAACAATAAGAAGGTAAACTATATGAGTCAGAATTCAAGTAACTCGACAACAAGAGACCAACATGAGTGTACCAAATACCTACAGTATCTGGGAAAGTTTGGAAGGTTCAACTTGACAGATTGTATTGATTTTACCACCCAGACAGAGAGCACTTTCTGCCTCTAATGGTGCAACTTACCAGAGACATAAGTACAGACCTAGTCGGTATCTATGGAGCACATTGAACCATTCACACATGTCAGATTTTAATCAGTATACCAATTATTGTAAATTGTATGATCTCTATGCAGGTGTCTTCTAGTCATTAAATGTTTTGTATGGCTATACACGTAGGCCCATATCTGTACCTCACTTAAACTATGTAAATGAAAATGAGCAATTTGTAAAGTCAATGCTGAAGATTCAAAGAAAAAAGCGCTAAAATTTGAAATCCCCGTTGAGACTTCAATATTGCTACCAACTAGAAGATGTTGTTGATACTTAGTAGTAGATGATATTATCCAATAATCTCTTGCACAATCATTGTAACTTCAATAATATTTGACCAGACAAATTACAAGGAAAACAAACAAAAAAAGCTTTAACATTAAGAGTGAAAAGAAAATAGCAAATCTAGACTAAAAACTAAAAAAAATATATTTGCTTGTCACATTTATCAAAATTGATGAATATGATCATGGTATTCTTATCTTATTTATTTTGTGTGTACATTTTTTTTTGTTTGAAACAAGTTTAATGTTTTATACCTAGATTACATTACATTACATTACATGTACTGTGTATATTGTGGCCAGTAAATTCTAATCTATAAGACTGGTTTGTTTGATATGGTAAAACATTTGTATCATCCCAGGCTGAAGAGGAGAGACAAGCTCAGGTAGATCATGACAACAGGAAGCTCCTAGGCAGGATGACACAGATCATGAGAACACATGGATCCCTGGACAACTGGAACAACTACACACCCAGGAGGTTAGAGACAAAACTAGAAAGTTTCTGAAATCTTTACCTTGTAATATACATGTAGAAGTAATTTTTTTGTTTATCTTATTGGTTATTTCAGATATGGAAGAAACATTTAGCATCTTTAATAAGACTGAACAAATTGGCCATTGATGGAATGGTCACAAACTGTGGATATCAACCTTGGTTTTTTGGTGTAAGAACTGTAAAAAAAATCCTAATATCAACAACTTGACAGGTGACTTCTACTAAGTATATCAAAATTTTGGCTGTTGCAATGCAAAGTGTCCTTTTGAATTTATTTTTGAGAAGCTACTGATACTGTTGAACTGTCAGATATACATTTTGGACACTATAGCACGACCCAACTTTGCCGCATTGGTGTCAAGGTCGCTGATGCAATTCAAACGTTTTTATAAAAATGAAAAACCTGCATCTCTTTTTCCCTCTGTATGCATCAAGCAGCAATTCAGCGTGAAAATAAAGAACTAGAGGACCAGGATTTTTGCCCTATCGATTCCCCCTTGAAATGGGAAATTGTTTTATATGCAGTAATCTTGTTGTAATTAGAGATGACTTAAAAGTATTGCAGTGGCAATTACGGCCTATTGACTTTTCAATTGTGGCCTACTAAAGAAGTCATACTGGAGTGATTTATAGGACCTGGTGTGTTTTTTAACTTGAAAATGATGCATAGTATTCATTTATTTAGCTAAGTTATGATATCCTGATAAAGAATTAATTATATCTTGTTACTATAGATAGATTTAACGTAACAAGTGTAATGCTTCATTAAAACTAAGGGCTATTAAGGATTTCTGTGCTTTTGTGTATGCATGCATAACGTTTTGTACTGAATGTTTCAGTTTGAACTACTATGTAAGAGAGAAGGAAGCCGAGAGGATTGCAGTGAACAATGAACTGATCAAGAGTCGTTTACTGGGAGTGCAGCCCAGCTACAACCTCAACAAATGGGTAAGTCAGAGGGGGAAAGTGGTTGCAGTGTGTCAAAGGATGATCTCCAAGCAGATCCTACGGTGGCAAGGCAGTATCCAAATTACTCTTTGGTGGTTGATGGACACTGCTTTGCCACTGTAGGATACGCTTGGAGATTAACAAACTAAGGAAGTCTAAAAGTACATTGTATGTGCTTTGCTTTACTTTGATCATGCAGTATAACCACAGTAGATGATATTTCTCAGTCCTTTAGCTTTTAGATTCATGAACATGTTTGTCGCCCTCTCTAACCACCGAACCATGTCTACTCAACAGGAGGAAGACTTCCTGAAGCACGAGTACTACCTCGCCAACATGGCGGCCGTCACAAAGGACTTCGACCTGGACAGTCTGGAGCCTACGCCACGGGACCCCCCACGGAGAAGACGGCCAAGGAGCGTAGGGACAGAGGTGAGGAAAGTGTCATGATTATCGTCCTAGTTCTTTTTTTCATCTTTTGTTTCTTTTATTTTGAATAGTTCTGCATACAGAATTTGTACAATGATGTATTAAATGTGGTTACCTTTCTTTGGAAGTACATGATGGTATTATAAATTACAAGTATGAAGTACTGTATTATACATTTGTACATCTTTAGTTTGTATGAAATTCTCTAGGTGCAAGGGGGATCAAGGTAAAAAATATTCACATTTCTTTTCATGAAAATTTCACAAAGAGAACATTGTTCTTGTTGTAAAGACAAGGTCAGTTGAAACAGGAGTGCTAGAGCACCCTCCCGTTTTGGATGTCGAAGACACTCCCATCCTGACCCATGACTATTACCTGGTGGACAACACCGAGGAACCCAGAGACTTCTATGTAGACATCATTATGCAGACCAAGCCAATAAGGAAGAGAACAAGTATTCTCAAAAACTGGGCCGAACAGGCGAACGTGTGGTCTAACCTGAAGGTTGGTTTTCCGAGGCATGTTAAGGCTTGGTGATGGGATCAAAATGCATCGCAGTGACTGTCAATGCCTCTTACCTGAACTAACAATTTAGATGACTCCTGAATTCAAACAATAACCGCATGACTGCATGGGGGTTTTAAAATCCTTATATTTATGAAGAATCTTTTTTCTTCTCTGAAGGGGAATAACTTACAAAGATGATGACAGTATGATATCTATATTTCTAAATCACCAGGGTCAAATAATGCTTGATCTTTCAGCTAGCATGCCAATTAAGCCAACAATATCCCTCTACTCCAAAGCAAACTTGTCTTTCAAGGAAATTTGACTGCAGATTCATTCATGTCCTCGATTCTTGCTGCTCCCAGATGTGTTGTGTTTGCACATTAATGAATCATATTGCAAGTACAATTGGCAAATTGCATTAAATGCTTGCATTTTTAAATTGAACTTAAAATGCATTTTATACAATGTACATGGGATGCTATTTCATCAAGTACATGAATGTACAGGCCCTAAACTCCAACGATATCATGATCAAAATACAATTCCCAATTCAATCTGCCACATTATTACTTGCCTGCCCATGTTTCTTTATAATCTGTTCTTGTACCAGTTATCATTAAATAATTTATTTGTACATGTACAATGTATTATCTTATTTGTTGTGATACATGTACTATGTTGTTTTTCTTTTGTACAATGAGCTAAAAGAAAACTCTAAATCATGGGCTGTAATGTTACAAGTTGAACTTTCATCATGCTGCAAAGAATTTTAATTGGGTAAGTATGGAGGTTTACCATTCAGTACTGGTTTGGTGACCATATTCTCAATGTTGTTGATATTTTCATTTCAGACGGATCGGTCCACAGAAGCTGCCAGCACCACAGACGGTGAAGAGGCACCAAAATTACCCAAAATTGTGAGTCTGTCATCTCTTGTTGATAATGATAACAGTCACATTGTCAGTCAAAGCTGCATATTTCACATCTTGCTTTCTTGTACCACACAGTCATGTAATAGTCTATAGTGTTACTCATAGGAAAATCAAACTCTACTACTGGATGAATTATGGAGATACATAATGTAATTTCTGGACGTTCGAGTGACATCCATCACTCTCAGCATCACTAATGACAAAGTCTCATATAGTCATTGATATGAAAGGAGATAAAGGTAGTTCCTATATGATAAGACAACACCACAGGAACTGCTACATCATCCAAGTTACTCCTGTTAACGAGTTCTGTTAGTTCATTAGTGACACTGAAGAAGAGTGGTGGACGTCACTCAAAACGTCCGGAAATAATCTTCGTAATTTATCCAGTAGTAGAGTTTGAATTTCCTATGAGCTTTACCTGGATATCTAGCCTTCATTGACGAGTGTAGAGTGTTGTGTCTAGACTGTATCTTTCGTTCCAAAAATAAACGGAGAATAATGATGGTGCCTCTCTGTCTGCAGAAGCTTGAGCGGAGTAAAGGCGGTGGGACCTGGCCACCCAGACGCTTCCATACCAAGCTGCCAAAAGTGAACAGGGTGGACAAAAACAAGGTAAGTGGCAGGGAGATATAAGAGTAAAGTATTCATGGTATTGATTTTTTTGTTGCTGTGATGATACTACATCATAGTACATGTCAACTTTGTGTTTGCAGAAATTATTTGTCATATCCTTTAATAACTTTTGCTCTCAATACCCTGTGGCAAATCTACTGTACTGCAAAATCAAAGTAAGCAAACATCGTATTTCAAACACAAATGATTTAGACACTATATCCTTATGTTAATGTAACAATAGTATTATGTATCTTTTCAATGATCCTCCTTTTAGCTAGTCTGTCACATTGTTTGATGTGTTTCAGTGGTGTTAAATCTTTCTCTTCCTTAGTTGACTGCTTTTCAAGCTTGTTTGACTTTAATTTTCTGTACTTGACTGTGACTTTGACAGACTGGACTTCTTTAGAATTTCTGACAGATGTGTGTTTGATTGTCAAAGAGCAAGGATGCACCAAATGACACAAGAGACGTTGACATCATAATGTGCTATGAGAGCACATCCCCAAAGAAAAAGGGCAAGTCTAAGAGAAAGAAGAAGAAATCCAAATCTGAACAAAAGGAGTATACACAACGTCGACCTCCTGCATTCCTGCCCATTATCGATGAAGAAACGTCGGTTGACCTTGAAAGAGAAGCGAGGTCATCTTCTGAGACAGAAAGTCAGAAGGAACTGCGGAGAATGGAGGAGGATTACTTAAAGGAATGGGATGAGCAGGATGTCCAGACAGCGGTGAAAAGTGTCCGAATAACCAAGGCTGCCTTGCCTGATTTGCTTCCCGAGAAGTCAAAGTCTAGAATACTACGCCAAAAGAGGTCAGAAGCCAAGGCAAAAAAAGCTGACGGAAAGAAAAGGAGTAAACCAAAAAGTAAAAACGACAAGAAGGACAAAGCATTGAGAAAACTGGCAGGACCATATCTGACTACTAGTATGTCAGCAAGGAACAGGACTTCAGTCAGTCCAGGATCTAGGTAGAAAATCTTGAAACCTCGTGTAACACTATAAGAGGTGGTTGAAAATGAAAAATTATTTTGATTGGATTTTGTATTGGGTAATTTTGCCCAATGTTGTTTTTTGACAATTTTTTCTTATTATGAATCTGAGTGACAAACTGTGTTAGAAGAACTGGAGGTGGGTCAGTTGAGAAATGAAGGAACTACAAGTTGACACATGTGTGTTAGAAAAGTAGAGAAAAGGACATGACAAAACATAACAAAACAAAACAAGACATGACACAACTGGAGCTGAGTGAAGTATTCTGTGACGTAAAGACTGACTGACTGACTGACTGAAAAAACACTGGACTGGACAAACACTGTACGGACAAAGACAGGCAAGGGCTCTCTTTCCTTCAATAACCTTCTTCTGACTTGTATATTAACAAATGATCCCAGATAAAGCTTGTAAAGGCACTGTCCAGCAACATTGCTGACATCTTTGTTCATGCTCATCTCTCAAACCTCTACAGAGTGTTGACTCTGAGTCATCATTTTCTGTTCTTTTTTCCTTGTTTCAGGTTGACCTGTCTCAACATGATGTTGACAGAGATTCCAGGATGCTCTTCAAAGCCACTAAGGGCTTGAGTAAGTTGGATACCACATTGTTCTCTTCAGACCAAATTGTTTGTTTTTCTGGTTTCTTACCATCACATGTCATGTTATACAGTTATGCAAAGTTTTTTTAAAACTTGAATGTCTAAGAAATACATGTAGTCAGTTTTGTCTGACAGTTGACATGGAACTTCTGACCTCTGTTCTGCCAGGCCAAAATGAAGTGTCTATAGTCATCAAGACACTGGTGAGACGTACCTATAGACAACGCCAAGAGACCAAGGCCAAGTTCTGGGATCTTTATGACAAGGTCAGTTTCTGATGACCTTGAAGTGAGACCTTTGCTGATTCTACTCACTAGTTGCGTCTTGTTCTTATAAAATTTCAGTGACTGTATGAAAGACTAACTTTGATCTCTAGTAATTTAAAAATGGAACCTGGATTGGAAGTAATCTAGCTGTATGTGCAAACAGTCTTGGGTTCAGCACCAAGGACAGTTACAAGAATTAAGACATTCAGAAAAAGTTCACAATTTTGTGTGTTTTCATTATGATTGTTCTAGTATAAACTTATTAACTTAAAGTTAAAAACCTGTCTAAATGGTGGCATTGATAGGCTGAGTGGCTAAGACAGAATGAGATTGAAACATCATAGGTTCGATTCCTGGCATTCTTGGCTACATGTTGTGTCCCTGGGAAAGGCACTTTACATAACTTTCTTCACTCCACCCATGTGTAAAATGTGTACTACATGTACCTGGCTTTGATAGGGGAGAAAAAAGGCAAGAGGGATGTGCTTTGTTTGAGGCTCCAATTATTATACTATGCCCCAAACACAATGGGTTACCAATAATTGCAACCCACTGCCTAAGAGGCTTTGGGGCTACCTTTACTAACTTTTTTTTCTAAACCTTGCAATTTTTGCAGGAATTGTCTGAGGATCTGAAGTCCCAGCTGAGTGATGACTTTGCCCAAGTGATCGACGCCCTCCTGATGGAAAGAGAGAAGTTCGATGCCATGACAGTACACAGTGCACTCAAGGTCTGCAGAACTTTCTACCTTTTTTGCTAAAGATGTTTGCACGTATATCTTTGTGGTATTCTTTTATCGCTTTTTGCTTCATGTCTTTGAATAGAGTCTCTAGTATTTGAGTTGAAGTCCAAATCCATCAACATCATCATACTGCGCTACGTGTCAACATTCAACAGTTGGTTAGGTGCAATTTGCTTGTCCTGTTCTTTTCCAATTTTATGACAGTAACATAAGCTTTCATTATTGTAGTCCTAGATAATTTGTTTTATATTTTCTATAGGGATCACCTTCAGCAGAGGCCACACTCATTGAGATTTTGTGCACAAGGAACAATAGGGTATGTTTAACTTAGTTGATATACATGTATTTATACTATCCATTTGCACTATTATATAATAGATCTACTCATTTTGCCCTGTTTTCACATTTATTAAAATGGACATAATGATGTGCTTTCATAGATATACAAACTATATCATCTGACTGATTTTTGTTTTCATACCATCCACAGGCTTTGGAACAGATTAAGAAGGCTTACAGAGATGGTAAATTATAATTGTTGTTCTGCTTTTTGTTAACACAAATGTGCAATGATTTAAAGAAAAAAAGTACAT